ATGAAGTAAAATAGGCTGTAAAATGAAGTAACAGCTCACTGCACTGAACATCCATAAAATGAAGGAACAACGACACCCAAATAGTACATCTGTAAAAATGAATCAACAACGACACGAAGACAGAGAGCATCTGTTAAAATACACCCCAGAAATGACAACAAAACAACACAACTGAGAAACAGAAAGAGCGATAATAGTATAGCAAATAAAATAAAAATAATCTGTATTATGACACACAAAAAAAAAATCACCCTTGACTTTTTAAGACAAAGGAGAAACAAAACGGAGAGAATTTTATAATACCATAAGAACAATAATCTAACAAAATGAATTATATTTGTTATAAGACATTAGCATAATTAATTATAATCATTGTTCGTTAGCTTAGAAAAGGCTTCACACCATAACAATGAAACAGAATACTTGTGACATAACAACAATATCACTGTAGAATATCTATGGCATTAACACCAATATTAAAGCAGAATGTTTACGACATAGCCATAACAAAGTCAGCGTATTTGTAACAATTCAGTAATATCAAATCAGGATATTTCTAACATCAGAACAATATCAAAGCAGGATATTTGTGACAATACAATAATATCGAAGCAGGAATATGTGTAGCGTAACATCCATATTAAGGAAATATTTTTGTAGCATGTCCGAACAACAGAAGAAAAGCAGAAGATACGTAACATACATAACATCAACTATAACAACAATAAGAAATTATCATATCATAACCATAATAACAAAATTGAACATCACTACATTAATACATTAAAAACAATAAATATAACACGTGTAAAATGATACAACACCGACACTAATACAACATATTTGGAAAAAAAGCAACGAAAACGATTCGTTCACAAACAGTACAACAATAAAAATGAAACAAAAATATTCATAAAGCAACACAACAATAATAAAACAGAACTTCAGTATTAAAATCTCAGATGCAATAACACATTCATAAAACAACACAAAAATAATAATAGCAAAGCAGAACGTCAGTATTAAAACCCCAGATACAATAACACATTCATAAAAGAACACAAAAATAATAACAGCAAAGCAGAACGTCAGTATTGAAACCACAGATACAATAATACATTCATATAACAACACAACAACAATAGTAAAGTAGAACGTCAGTGTTAAAATTATACACAATAATACAATTACCAAGCAACACAATAGTAATAATAATGAAGTAGAACGACTGCGTTAAACCTACAAAGACAATAATACAACACATACTAAACCTAAGGACAACACATATGAAACAGAACCTTCTAACAAAGACACTAAAGTCAAGTTATTTCCAACAAACGGAACAAGGAAACAGAATGCTAGGAGATTTTGACAGTTGCTGCAACCCAGTCCCTACATGGATCTTCCAGAAAGACTGTCACTATGGCTGGAAATATACTCAATTTGGGAGAGTAAATATCCCTTATCAAGTGTCTTGTAAACCTGTCTTTCTAATAGATGCACCTAAATTAGGGCCGTTTAGTTGTCAAGCCTAATTCAAATTGTGTGATACAGTTTACAGGGACAGGTTCATTATAAATGTATAGGTTATGATTAATTATTTATGCTATCGACGTGGGCAATGGGTTTATAGCAACGCCTTGTTTTCATTATTACCATTGCAGATTCTCATGCCAGGACAACCGGCGGCTCAGACTCTCCACTCAGCCACCGCCGGACAGAACTGTTGTGAATCCGGGCGTCCAGTTCTCACGGATCCCCTCACGGGACAAACTGTGTGTTCCTGCCAGTACGACGCCCAGATACTCAACTACCAACGGCTAGCAGCCTCGGGCTTACCACTGAACATGTACGGAACGGCAGCAGCGGCGGCGGCAGCAGCCTACACCGGCGATCAGCCTTTTCTTCCGCTCACACCGGAGCAGTCGGCATTCTATTCCCCGACGGTGAGTTGAACAGGATAGATTTTTGTCTAGGCAATAAATCAGTCTTACCACAATTAAACTGCTATAGAAACAAGTATAAAGAAAAAAATATTATCTTACGGTGTTTGATTACTTGAAGAACTTTGCTGATACTAGACACTACCGCCTCAAATCATGGGCCATCAAACTAGTTCTTTAGAAACTAAAGTGTTAAGTTACGCTACTCTTCAACACATAAATATTTTACATGATTACCAGTATTTTGCATGAGTAAGTCACGAGATAAGAAGAATGACTCCAATTATCAGTCAACAAAACTATGCTATTAAAGTAAAGCATATATTACTCAGCAGTTTCGCTTCATTTAAGTCATATAAGCTTTTATAAATAGGGAGGCGATGAAAGGTTGTTAGTATGCATTACGGATGGCGAAGGGCTTCGAATTTCGCACGTATTCTGTACTGTTTTATGATATTTCAAAAATTAAAAACATCATTTGTTACCATGTGTTAATTGTGATTACACTTGGTAAGATAATATGTATTGGATATTCATAATGATATTTTCTTCTCTATATATTTTATATGGCAAAAAATAACGCATGTGTCGTTCACTAATACATTTTACGTGTTCTTATTTCACGACTGCTTCCATAAATAGAGCACTTAAAACTCGCTCTATGGATATCTGCGTGAATCAAAAGTGAAAGTAAGCATGATTCAAGACCTCACCTTCAAGACCTCACCTTCACTCTCATACGTGACCTCAGCCGCGATTAGATTTCGACTTGGAAAAACTGTAGAAATAGTACTGACCACCAGAAAACTAATTATGTCTTGTGCTTCATGAACTTCGCTCAATGTTGAAACTGGACAGTTGTGACTTTTATGTTTCATTAACTTAATTATTGTTCGAGATATTGGAGTCAAACAAAAAGCTTCCTCGACACGCAGGTAATGAGCGACCCAGACTATTACGTCAGTGCCACGTCACCTCTGAAAAGACTGTATCTGGCCGTTCTTGATCCAAAATCCTTAACCGCGAGAATCGAAAGTGACGAAAACAAGATAGTCGTGTCAAGATAAACCGAGTATCGGTTAATATTAACTAACGGTTTAATGTCATCTTATATATAATTTTTAAAACTAATATTTAACCTATCGCTACGTTTTGAATGTCAAAGCGATTGCTGAAGTCTTTTTGAGGATTGTATACGGCCTTTGTGGTTGCTGTGGTAACAGCGTTGCCACGTTACATTCTCCGTTGGATAGCACACCCATCTCCACGTATTATAAAGTCTCGACTTCGAATCTCACGAAAATCACAATAACTTCTTATTAAGATTACATCTGAAAGCAATCTTAACGTTCGTGTAAACCATACACTAATTGTTTCGTATTTTGTTTACATTAGACAGCCCACTAAACTGTAGAAATTCAGATAAAAGACAGCAGTAGAACTGTCAGCTAATTACTCCACACTTTTTGGCAAATTTGAGTGTTTCTTGAATTCTGTTCACTTTGTTTTTATTATTAATAGATTTGATTTTCTCTTGTTTTGGCCCACCGGACAGGGGTTTGAACTAGAGGGGGGACAATCGATCGTAAGACGAACAATTAAACGCCTTTTATATAAATTCAGTAAAAGTTGTCAGTATGTCATAAAACTAGGAAAATTTACATAAATGTATCTAAACTCTCTTAGCAACATATAATAAGGTGACTGTGTTCTAAATGTCATGGTTCTTGATTTCAGCAAGAAAGTGTACGTGGTTCTCTGTAACCTGCATTAGTTTTACAAGAGGTTTTATACACGTGACAAAACACTAATTTCTATGTTGAAAACATTTCCAACATACAGTAAAAGTTCTGTTTATTGTGATGAAATAACTGTTTGTCCTGAATAGTTTTACTGTTTATTAGTTTAGGCCAAGTGAATGCGATGAGATAATAGAACCGTGATAACGTTACCACGAATGTCAGCGTATGGTAGTACTAGCAAACCTTGTCATCCCCCTTACTATGAAGTATATATACACACACCAAACGTTAGTCCTGGAAGATGTTTCACTGTCTCATCCTTAACATAATCGGACTGTGCTGCCTGTTTCAATCCTGTTTCACGTTTCAGGTTATGGTAGTTTTGACAAACCGTTTCACTTTCTGTTGAGACCTGTTCAATGTTTCAAACGAAGAAACTAAATCTGGCTTTCATGGCTTTAGCGATTAAATGGGCGCAGTCCCACATGGGCATCATACTCCTTATATTAAGTGCCTTTCCAAGCAAGTTCGAATGTCACGTCTTATCTTCGATAATTCGCTGATATTGTGACAATTTTTGGTACATTTATGTGCTGTTTCTCAGATCGAAAATGTTTAATATTTTGACTTCACCACAATGAGCACTGCTCCCATAACAACAGTCCAGCTTCCCGCATCATCTTCATTTAGATTCCTTTGTCTAAATAACGTGATTTTTGCTGTACGTCATCTCTTCTCACATCTTGCTACACCAAAGTCAAGTTCCTCTGTAATGTTTAAGTTGGAGACAGAAATTTCATTAGAAAAGTTAACTTCATGATACTGCCGATAAATGAAGATCTCTCTACGCTTACGTTAATTTAATGATTATCATTAAGTTAACTCGTTCAAGGTGTTAATTACATCAGAATTTGCTCTCTTGGTAGCAATAATTTTGTTTAAAAAAAAAAACACGTTTTAAAAACAGAAACTTCTTCCCTGGTGAAAGCAGGTCTATTTTCTGAAAGCGCTTAGGTGGTTTATTAATTGATGTATCTTGCTAAGCATGAATGGGTCAATGTCTAATTTATAGAGTAAAACTACAAGCAGGCATAGAAGGCCAGAATAAAGATGGATAAATAGTTACATTGGTCAATGCCTAGTTTATAGAGTAAAACTACAAGCATGCATAGAAGGACAGAATAAAGATGGATAAATAGTTACATTGGTCAATGTCTAATTTATAGAGTAAGACTACAAGCAGGCATAGAAGGACAGAATAAAGATGGATAAATAGTTACATTGGTCAATACCTAGTTTATAGAGTAAGACTACAAGCAGGCATAGAAGGACAGAATAAAGATGGATAAATAGTTACATTGGTCAATGTCTAATTTATAGAGTAAAACTACAAGCATGCATAGAAGGACAGAATAAAGATGGATAAATAGTTACATTGGTCAATACCTAGTTTATAGAGTAAGACTATTAGCAGGCATAAAAGGACAGAATAAAGATGGATAAATAGTTACATTGGTCAATACCTAGTTTATAGAGTAAAACTACAAGCAGGCATAGAAGGACAGAATAAAGATGGATAAATAGTTACGTTTAAGCGCGAGAAAGGAAAATAAGTAAACCAGTTTTTCAATAGATAGATAGAACATTACAAAATGAGAGAGGGAAAACAATACATTGGCTTATAAACACACACAGTAACAGAAAAAGAACGACAATAAGACCTCTTTACAAACAGAGGTAGAGTGAAAGAAACGAAATAAAACAGATCAATTTAAAGATAGATAGGTGGAGGGATCGATCAAAAGATTGATATTGCGTACAGTTTTAACTGATACCTTTCTTTCTATCTCTTATAGAACAAATTATATTGTTAATATAATTTGATTTTCATCTTCCAATTTATATAATTATTAACATGAAGCGCTTAACAGGAAGTTGAAACCTCGCTTGGTTAAAATTGACTAAAACCTGCAATTACGGGTTTGTGTGGGAAAATGTTGCGTGTACAGACCACGAGACACCATGCCTTGTCAAATATGCTTGCTCACCGAATCCACTAAAATATGTCTTTATAGACCAAACTGTTTGACGTGAAACCTGTAGCAATCGATTTGATCATCTATATTATTTAGGACATAATGATGACTGCTAGGGGAAGCTGGTATCTGCATTCTAAATGAAGAAGCTAAAATCTTATCTTCAGAATTTCTTAATATTTCTTCTCCTGGACCTATTAAAGACGTAGTTTTCCTTGAATCTAAACAGCAAAATTAGCTATAGCAGTTGGTTCCTCATATATACTACTTTTCTTATAGCAGTTGAATTCTCATACTACTGTTCTTATAGTAATTTATTTCTCATACTACTAGACTTATAGAAGTTGAATTCTCATACTACTGGGCTTATAGGAGCTGATTTTTATACTACTAGACTTATAGGAGTTGATTTCTCATACTTTTAAACTTATATGAGTTGATTTCTCATACTACTGGGCTTATAGTAATTGATTTCTCATACTACTGGGCTTATAGTAATTGATTTCTCATACTACTAGACTTTATAGAAGTTGAATTCTCATACTACTGGGCTTATAGTAATTGATTTCTCATACTACTAGAATTTTATAGGAGTTGATTTCTCATAATTTTAGACTTATATGAGTTGATTTCTCATATATATAAATACTGTCCTTAAAGCAGTTGATTTTTCATACTACTGTTCTTATAGTAATTGATTTCTCATACTACTAGACTTTATAGAAGTTGAATTCTCATACTACTGGGCTTATAGTAATTGATTTCTCATACTACTAGACTTATAGAAGTTGAATTCTCATACTACTGGGCTTATAGGAGCTGATTTTTATACTACTAGACTTATAGGAGTTGATTTCTCATACTTTTAAACTTATATGAGTTGATTTCTCATACTACTGGGCTTATAGTAATTGATTTCTCATACTACTAGACTTTATAGAAGTTGAATTCTCATACTACTGGGCTTATAGGAGCTGATTTTTATACTACTAGAATTTTATAGGAGTTGATTTCTCATAATTTTAGACTTATATGAGTTGATTTCTCATATATATAAATACTGTCCTTAAAGCAGTTGATTTTTTATACTACTGGACTTATAGGAGTTGAATCTTATACTACTGGGTTTATAGGAGCTGATTTTTATACTACTGGACTTATAGGAGTTGATTTCTCATATATTACTAGGCTTATGGCAGTTGATATTTCACACTATTGGATTTAT